AGGGAAAAAAAATCAAATTAAAATCAGCTCTCACTTTCCAATTTAAGTCGTCAACAGGCTTTCTTCTTTGAGGTTTCCCCAGGATTCCCAAGGACAAAGAGAGCGAAAACGGTGTATCATAACTGTCACCAAGACACTCATTACTGTCCTACTCCACTCAAGAGTTCCTCTCTCCTATCTTGTGATTTCAAGGTGGCTAGAAAATTAAAATAGCTCTTCATCCTTCATGAAGGATGAGGAGTCCAGTTCTGCTCAAATATTCAATGAATATTTAACTGAAGGCTGACTATATGCAAGACATCCCTGATGTCTTCTCAGGTCTCATAAAGAAAGGATCTGCAAGTATTTTATTTTAAATATATTTTTATTGATTTCAGAGAGGAAGGGAGAGAGGGGAAATAGGAACATCAATGATGAGAATCATTGATTAGCTGCCTCCTGCATGCCCCCTACTGGGGATTGAGCCATTAACCCAGGCATGTGCCCTTGACTGGAATAGAACCCGAGACCCTTCAGTCCACAGTCCGATGCTGTATCCACTGAGCCAAACCAGCTAGGGCTCTGCAATTATTTTATTTTCTCACATAGACCTCCCCTCTTTAACAAGGGTTCCTTATTCTATTGCCAAAGACTCCCTGGTCTTTAAGAAGCAGAATGAAATCAGATAAGTAGTTTCAGTCCCAATCATACAGGTTCAAACCACATTACTGATTTAAGACCCCCAAAATAATTTTGCTCTGAGCTGTTTTTATAGTCATATTGATCATGATGCATTGCACTATTGCACTATACTCTCAGATCCATTCATTCTAGTATATATTAGTACCTGGTACATGTTTGCTGCTCATGGAATAGTTTTTCTCCATGAGAAAATAATTGGTCCAGAAAGGGGATCAAATTTTAGATTAATAAACTTACTCTACTATCTCCAATTTCACTTAGAGAACTGATATCCTAAAATTCCACAAAAACATAGCATTACCTTGTTGGCACCCATATAAGTTTAGTTTGCTTAGACAAAACACCAGAAAACAAAAAGCAAATGCTAGCATTTCAAAGACGCTGTGTTAGCTGGAAATGAACCATGCAAACAGAAGTAAATGAAAAGTCAATGTGTTCTTACCAGCCAGGAAGATGGTGGTGTCACCGCAGAAGATTCAATTTTGTTTAATTATAGCTAGTTCCCCAAATAAAGACTCCTATCACTTTTCTACATAAAAAGAAACTTTAAAGAAACAAAGTCACAAACCATTTTTTTTCCTGAAAATGTTTATACTTAATGAGATGTGAGCCTCGTGTTTGTGTGTAAATCTTCTCTAGCAAATGCTGGGCTCTGTGGTTACAGGCGTACTTACAAACCAGACCAAGGGTATTTGGGAATCCAGGTTAATTGGTAGCTCAAAGTGTCAGCCATCACGAGCAATGATAATGACCAAAATAAAATTAATGTAATATTCTCAGAGTAAAAATTTAACCGACTACATGTTACATCAAACCTTTCATTCATGTCTCTCCCATCTTGCAGTATATTTCATTGGTAAACAGGCTTAATTCATCATAATGAAGACATGCATGAAAAGGTTAAGATCTACTTTCTATTTGAATTCCCATTAAATCAAACATTTTTGCAGATCAAAAAGATGTTCAAACCAGTGCCACGTGTCAACATATAATTAAGTTCCAATATGGGTAAATAGGAACTGCTCCTTTGAATTTGTTATTAGGGAATTTGACATGTTGGGTCACTGCTCTAAAAACTTTGTCGCCCAAATTCCATCTTTTCAGAAGTGTTTCAGCTATAAATAATATGGCGTATCTTTTCCATTAGTCATTGAATGATTAAAAACATCTTTAGACGTTTTTAGATAATTTTATAATTAAGATTCTTTGACTTTGCTGTATTGCAAAGAAGCTACTGAGCTCCCCAACTGAAGAGGCCATACATTTATTAGTCTGAGACCATCTGCTTTTACATAGGACCAGCACCATAGTCCTAAGAAATTAAACCGAGGGGAACAAATAAGTATTAATTCGCTGGGGCCAAAGAGTTGCATTATCTTGGTCCCATAGGATAGCAGGTAATGAGATTCATGACCACAGATAAAGCCAAGGAATGACACATAAAAAAGTCTGCTACAAAATTACAGGAGACGCTGGCTTCAGGATAACTGGATCCTTTCTGAAGGAGGATTGCTTATCTTGCTATTTTCTAACTCCCCTCACTCACTTAGCCTCTAGTTTATTTACAGTGAATAAGTGCCTATTGTAACCTACTTTGATAAAGGAACATCTAAGGACTGGTATCTGAGGCCAGACTGGATTAAGGCTTGGACTTGAGCCTTGTCTGAAGAATTCCTTCTGTTTGTAAAATTCCACCCAGACATTTTCAATGGTCCTTTTGTATTTAAAGAGGAATTAAAACACTTTGGTAAATAAATATGGCCATATTTGAAGTCAGTAGCAATAATGAAACCATAAAAGCACCTTCAGACAAACTCTTGATGGTTAACTCTCAAACTTTCAGAATCCTATAGCCTATACCAAAGCTGTAAACATTCTTTTACTGCTTCTCTGCAAAAGGCCACATCCCAAGAGTAATGCCTCTGGCTTTCATTTCATCACATCACACGTATCACATCACAACTGTGTTACCTCTGCAACTAGATATCAACTTTGCACGGTACACCCAATTCAAGGATTCTTGCCATGGTTGAGTTATTGGAATAACATTAATCAAAGATATAATTAACATTTGCATTCATGCAGTATAACTGATATAGAAATTACACTAACAAACTTATTAGAAGTTACATACTCAGGTGAACACTGTTTCTTTTTAAAAAATCATCTTGAAAAGCTATGCTTATTCCAAAATTAGGAGCAGCTGTTTGGTGTGTGTGTGTGAGAGAGAGAGAGAGAGAGAGAGAGAGAGAGAGAGAGAGAGATCTCAAAGACACTATCTTGTCTCTTGATATGATTCCTTCCTATAATTTCCACACCTGGACATTTGGATAATTACTATGGGGCTACAGTAAGTTCTCTAACCCTGCACCCCAACCCCAATCCCTGTGCAACCTCAACTTTGGAAGTAATTACTTACTTTAGGGCACCTATCGTGTTACTAAGACCTTCAGTGAGGAATTCCTACCATTACTCTTCAAATGCCACCTGGCCCATCCCTGCTTTGGGAGCTCTTTGATCCATTCTGTAGGAAATTCCTCTTCTTGCCCTCCCACCCCCGCGCCCCCCGCTGTATGCCTAGCCAATTCAACTCCTGTCTCTCCACCTAGGGATCTGCCCACCATAATTCAAGATTTAGACAACTTTCTGGGCACTTGGGGTTTAGGTTACTATCATTATTCAATTATATTGTGGATTAATAAAGATTCGGAGGTGCTTGACAAATAATTTTAGCAAAGCATTACAATCACCATATTTCAAATAACTCATTTTCTGAAGATCATTTGACAAGGAAATCAATTGAAGGTAGAGTATCTGAATGTGTTGCATTCCTGTAGAGAGTGGTATGCAGAACAACTGTGCTAACTTCACAGTAAATAGAAAAGTAAAATAAGAGCTTTGTCATTGAGTGAGCACTCACCTTGGCTGAATGACTCATGTAGAGGACCGAAGAGCTCTAAGCAAAACTGCTGGACAACTCTTTTTTTTTTTTTAACATACGTTTTTATTGTTTTGTTTTGAGAGGTGGGGGCGGGGGGAGAGACAAGGGAGAGGGAGAGAAACATGGAGAGACAAATCTCAATCTGTTGACTCCCACATTGGGCATCGAGTCTGAAACCAAGGCATGTGTTCCAATTGGGAACCTCTCGGTGCATGGGACAATGTTCAACCAAGTGAGCAACACTGGCCAGGGCTGCTGGACAACTCTTGATTCTCTCTTCCTACTCCTGTCTTTCATTTCCAAACTAGGCAGCCTCTTAGTGAAAAGACTTCTGAAGCAAGCATCCCCTACATTTGGGAGCCATTGTTTATAAGACAAGAACTGATGTTTTTACTCCGCTGACACTTCTAATGTAAAAATAAAAACTATCAAAGTGCAATGTACTTACTTCTGTTTCAACAAACAAAACATGGGCATTGAACGGAATCTTGGTGACTCAGGTTCATGATAATCAAGAGTATTAGGATAGACACAGGAGACAGAGCTTCTAGTACCAGATTTATCAACTAGTAGCCACTTCATCTTAAGCCTTGGTTTCTCATCTGTAACTTGTTAAGATCCTGTATTTTTATTAAGTTATACACTAATGATATGGTACAACTTTAGGAAGTTATAAGGTGGGTAGATCTTAGTTTTCCCTTTCAATCATGGCTGCCTTCTGTGCCTTTCCTAACCATTAACAGGCTCAAAAACTTGACTGTATGGCTCTAGCCAGTTTGGCTCAGTGGATAGAGCCTGTGGACCAAAGGGTCCCGGGTTTGATTCGGGTCAAGGGCACCTACCTTGCTTGCAGGCTCCTCCCTGGCCCTGGCCCTGATCAGGGAGTGTGCAGGAGGCAACCAATCGATGTGTTTCTCTCACATTGATATTTCTGCCTTTCCCTCTCTTCCACTTGGGTGAGGAAAAATATCCCTGGGTGAGGATTAACAAAAACAAACAAAAACAAAAAAACACCCTTGACTGTATGGATGGCATGTTTGGGGCTATCATTGATATTTTTTATTTCTTTAGGATAATTCTTTTGTTTTTTTCTGGCACCACCCATGGGTTTTCTCCTGTAGCCCTGTCAACCTTCTAGTATTGTCACTTTTTGCAGTATCTCCACCTTTTCCCCATTTTTGTCTTTTCAGCCAATGAAAACACATTTTCTGATCACATAAATAGCTTCAGTAACCTCCATCCTTTTGACTATTTTGGTTAATGCTACTACTCAGAAACTGTTCTGGTATCTACATGGTTCAGAGTTATAACAGTTTTCTATAATCATCTAAGAAATAGCTCTTGAGTATCTACCAGGTGCCAGGCGCCATGGTAGTCCTTTATTAACTTGGGAGACAATTCCTTCAATGTGTCCCATCATTAAAGTGGGGAAACAGCAAATACGACACCAAAAGCACAAGCAACAAAAACAAAAATGAACACGTGGGACTACATCACATTAAAAGACTTCTGTACAGCAAAGGAAACACTGCAAAGGCAACTTATGTAATGGGAGAAAATATTTGCCAACCATATATCTGATAAGGGATTAACTTCCAAAATACACAAGAAACTTTATAATTCAACAGTTTAAAAAACCCTAATAACCTGATGAAAAAATTGGCTAAGGATTTCTCTAAAGATCTATAGATGGCCAATAAATATATGAAAATAATACTCAAAGTCACTAATCATCAGGGAAATACAAATCAAAACCACAATGAGATCTCACTCCACACCTGTCGAGTTGACTATTATAAAAAGACAACGAAGTATTAGTGAGGATGTAGAGAAATTGGAACCCTTGTACACCATTGGTGGGAATGCAAAATGGAGTAGCCACTATAGAAAACAGTATGGAGGTTCCTTAAGAAATTAAAAATAGAAGTGCCATATGACCAAGCAATCCCACTTCTGGTTATTTATCCAAAATAATTGAATTCAGAATCTTGAAGAGATATTTGGACTCCCACCTTCATTGTAGCACTATTCACAAGAGCAAAGATGTGAAAACCACCTAAATGTCCAAGAGATGAATGCAAAAATAGAATATATACGTATATTGGAATATTATTTAACCTTAAAGAAGGAAGTTCTGCAACATGTGACAACATGGATGAAACTTGAGGACATTTGCTAAGCAAAATAAGCCAGTCACAGAAGACAAGTACTGCATGAATCCACTTATAAAGGAATGGCACTACTTCCTGGATGTGAATTTCTCTGGTTGCAGGGCCAGAATTGATTATGAGTTTCTGTAGCAGTGTATCCATTGCTACTTTCTCAGGCAGTTGCACAGATTTTGTAACTGATCATGTTCCCTTATTAAATAACCTGTTAAACACCTTTACACTAAATTGATTTGTGACTTAACCTATAGCAACTTTATAGGCTCTCATTAAATCCATTCATGTACTCATGCCACTCTGGTTCTATCTTATTTTGTTATAATACCAAACTATTTTTCTTCTTTCTTTCAAAGATTTTTGCTGTTGATGTTTCATCTTAATTATAATTTTTGTTTGTAAGCCACCTTAAATCATTTTTGAAAATTTGGGATAAAATAATAGAGTTCAAATTTCAAACAAATAAAAAAAAAGGAGGGGCAGGGGGTTGAGGGAAGCAGCAAAATGTGGTGGCTGCCTACACAGATGTGGAGCAAGACTTCAAAGTTCAAACGGACTCCTCTAGTTACAAACCACGTGAACCTTGGGCAAGTTAGACGTTGCTGTGTCTGGATTCAATTGTAAAACGGAGACAATAGTTCCTAGCTCATAGTGCTGTTTTGAGTTTTAAATAATATCAGTAAAATACAGGGTGGAACGAAGGTAGGTTTACAGTTGTCCATATGGAAAATAATACAATAATAAATAATAATACAAGAATAAATATTCCCATACTCACATCTGTAAACCTACTTTTGCTCCACCTTGTTCTTAGAATGGTGCTTTAAGAACAGTGCCTGACACATAGCAAACACTCAAACATTAGCCGTGAGGAATTATTTTATGCTGTAGTTTATCCTTTAGCATACATAGCTGGGTTTACAGTCAAATCAGCATTCCTAACATATCATCTAACAATGTTTGGACATGATACTTTACTGTTACTAGGAAAATTTTTATCTTATTCACTCCCTTTACTGCTGACAACATTATCAAACACAGGCATATTTCCTTAAGGGAAACCGGATATTAAGATCTGGGCTTATATACTAGTAATAGGCTTAAGAACTCTGTAAATATTTAAATAATAAAATAAAAAATAAAAATATAAAACACAACATGTACTCGGCCACTGCCAAAAAAGATTTGAAGTAGCAAAATACTGATTCAATAAAACTGAGGACTTTTAAGAACATAAATGCATGAGCTAAAGAAGAAGGCGTACATGAGTGAGAAGAGAGGAAAACTGCATCAGAACATGTTGGCTCAAGGAAGTTACTACTGCAGTTGAAAACAGAATTTCATTTCCTGAGAAGGCTGCCAAAACAAAGACAGAAACTGGAGAGGTGTCCCAACTCTCTATTTCAATGAAAGGAAGTTCGCCACTAATCAGGAGAAATATTTTTTTTGTTTCTAAGCAAGCATAGAATATATGGAGAACACTGATCCTAATAGTTAGGTTTAAAAAAAAAAAGCAGAGGTTTACCTTTGGCAAACATCGTGTCTAAAAGCAGTCTCAATCTAACGTCCAAGCTAAGTTCCCAA